ACAAGGCTCACAGGAGGACAAAATATTCATGCATGCACTCATGAGCATAATTTCAGATCTTAATTAACCTATTAGTCATGTTTTCAGACTATGGAAGAAAAGGCATGCAGAGGGAGAACATACCACCCCATAGCAGAAAGATTCCAGACTCGGAGTAAAGCTGAGTGCTTTGTTATTTTGCTCTTAGAGCAATTGAGTTGGAAGCAAATGTTAAATATGACCGATTAGCAACTAGCCTTATGCAACGTTCAGGCTGCAAGCAACAGAAGCAGCAAAAAACATGCGTACTGCTTCAGTTCTGGTGCATGGCTGCACGGTTGAAAAGTGGACCAGACATGCTTTGGTAGAACTTTCCTATCCTTTCTTTGCCTGTAACAATGGCGGATGAAATCAAGATAGTCGCTTGGCTTATTTTAATGAATAATGCAACGTTCAGACAACAGGGATTGGAAGCAGTAAAAACGCTTCTGCCTCTTCATCTATGATGCTTGTTCACATTACGGTCAGACGTCCAGTAAAGTGTGTCCAGATGCATCTGATGCTTCTGCTGCTCCTGTGCTCAATGGCAGAGAGCAGCTTTGTTATATTTAGTGTTATAAGTTGGTAAAAAGTAGTTTTAATATGTTCTTAAGTGAAAAAGTCCACCTCAAAACACCGTCTTTGCAGTCAGTTCATCCAGATTATGAACCTGCCTTCAAATATTTCTCTGTCTGCAGGACCTTTTGCTACACCTTGATGCGTGTCAATCATTGACTTTGCATGTAAACTAGCCACTTCTGCTGCTTCTGCAGCATGCAGTCTGAACATAGCATAACATTCAAGGTAAATATGGAAGGATAGTTGATATAGTAGTTTATAGACGTTTAACAAGCAATTACAACAACAAAGATCTGTAATACCTCATCGTAAATCCTGGACTTTACAGATTGGCTGAATTTCTCATAATTGAAAAATACTCCTGATCAATTGAGGGATTTCTAAAAACAAATAAAAGCCCTTAAAGTTGACGTAAGGATCAAGGTGTGACTGCATATTTGAATTTGACTCACCCCTTTTATTGCATGAGCTGAAAAGGAAGTTAAAAGAGTGAGTTTGCAAATAGGTGTGATGAAAACAGTGTGAAGCAATCTGTGCTTAAACATTAACTCTCCCGCTGATATCTTGAGATTTTGCTGCAATATTCAATTTCATTAAATTCAGTTTATTTATATAGCACCAATTAACAACGCTTGTCATCTCAAGGCACTCTACAGAGCCAGTTCAACCAGATTATACAGTCAGATTGATTCAAAGTTTAATATCTAAGGAAAACCAGTTGATTGCATTCACTCAAAAACAAACCCTCACACCGAGCATGCTTGAAGTGACAGTGGAGAGGAAAACTCACTCACAGAGAGAAACATCCACCAGAACCAGGGTCTGTGTAAGCGGCCATCTGCTGAGGTTGATTGGGGCTCAAGGAGACAGAAGCAGACATACAGAAGGAAGAAGAGATACAAAAGGCAGCTGTCAACCAGCTCCACAGTTGGCCGCATCCAGGAAGCACACAGCTAGGCAGATGAGCTCCAAGCCATCTCCCATGTCAAAGGATGAAAGAGAGTATATACAGGTAGTTATAGTCAAACAGGACTACACTGAAAAACAGACAGAGCTCCAAGATCTATAGATAAAGGTGTTGATGGGATTTCTCTACAGGATGGTGTCACAGCCACACAGGAACAGACCAGATGAAGCTAGTATGAGAAAATGCAGAGAGAGCATAACGTTACAGATTGACTAACAAATACTGCAGAATGGGAAAATAGAGATAGAATGAAGCAGAATTATAAACAGTTTCCTATATCCTCGAGCAGTCTGAGCCTATAGCAGCATAAATATAGACTCAAACTATAAGCTTTATCAAAAAGAAAAGTTTTAAGCCTACCCTTAAAAGTAGACAGGGTGTCTGCCTCACTGACTAAAACTGGTAGTTGGTTCCACAGGAGAGGAACCTGATAACTAAAAGACATGCCTCCCATTCTACTTTTAGGAATTCTAGGAACCACTAGCAAACCTGCAGATTGAGAGCCAAGTGCTTTTTTAGGAACATAAGGAACAATTATATCTCTGATATAAAATGGAGCTTGGCCATTTAAGGCTTTATATGTGAGAAGGAGGATTTTAAATTCTATTCTGGATTTAACAGGAAGCCAATGAAGAGAAGCCAGGATAGGAGAGATATGATCTCACGTTTTAATTTTCATCAGAACTCTGGCTGGAGCATTTTGGATCAGCTGAAGGTTTATAACTACAGTTTGTGGACTTCCTGATAGTAAAGAATTAAAATAGTCCAGCTTTGAAGTAACAAACGCACCGACTAGTTTCTCAGCATCACCGCTGAACAGGATATTTCTAACTTTTTGCAATATTCTGGATTTGAAAAAAGGAAATTCTAGAAACTTTTTTGATGTTGGATTTAAGTGGCAAGTACTGATAAAAAAAATAACACCGATGGTTTTTACTTTATTATCCTAGATCAATTTAATCCCATCCAAATAAAGGGACTGACTAATCAGCTTCTTTTTCAAAGACTCTGGTCCAAAGACTAACTTCTGTTTTCTCTGCATTCAGGGGCAGAAAGTTAAGAGTCATCCAGGTTTTTATATCTTCAAGACATGCCTGTCGTCTATATAATGGGTTAGCTTCATCTGTATTTATAGACAAATATAGCTGAGTATCATCAGCATAAAAGTCTAAATTAACCCCTTCCTGTCTAATTGTTCTTACAATTGGGAGCAAAATAGTAAAAACAATTGGTCCAAGCACTGATCCCTGTGGTACTCCACAGGTAACTCTGGAGCATTGGAAAGATTTATCACTGATGGGAACAAACTGAAATTTGTCAGACAAATAAGATATAAACTAGCATAGTGCTGTTTCTTTAATTCCTTCAAGTCATTTTAAAACAATAATATGATCAGCTTTATTAAATGCACCACTGAATTCCAACAGGACGAGAATAAAAACAAGTCCACTATCTGAGGCCATGAGAATAACATTAGTGACTTTCACCAGAGCTCTTTTCACTGCTTTGATGAGCTCTAAAGCCAGATTAAAACTCTTCAAAAAGTTCATTATAGTGTAAGTGGTCACACACTGGTTTGGGAACTATTTCTTCAATAACTGAATCCTTTTTAAAATGGAGGGGGAAATCAGAGGGAATACTTCCTTAAATAACTTGGTTAGAACTGGATCTAACATACAAGTTGAAGGCCTAGATAAAGGTAATAGTTTTATTAACTGAACGTTCAAGATTTGCTATTTCTCCACTATATCAGACTCACCACTCTAAGTGAAAATATGCATAAGCATGTGGGATGGCCTTACATAGAAGTTTCACCAGAATGATTGACAATTAGGAGGACCACTTGTTTTGATGATCCACCTGGAAAAAGAACATCCTCTTTTATACCTTTAACAGAGACAATTCCATCATATCATACAGTGAGATTGGGACAAAGTTCTGCATCTAAGAAAGCCTAGCTGATTGCATCAAATCATTGACTTGCAAGACATCCTCCTCCTGGAGGACCTTGTCGTTGACTCCACAGCAATACTTTAGACCAAGCAACTGTACAGTATTTTGTGATCTTTAGATTTGATCAAGCATTATAGATGTACAGCACATTACATAGAATATTGTGTTTAAACCTAGGACATTTTTCATTTTCATTCCATCTTTCCAGACTGCTGTTGATTTATTTGAATGTGGCACAGGAATCACTGTGTTTCAGTCGTTGCCCTAAAATTCATACTGCAATTAAGCTTGGTTAAGGAAGGACCATAGTACCAGAGATAACCCACACATGCACGAATAAAACATCCAAGCTCGATGCAGGAATCTAACCCAGAACCTTCTTTCAGCAAGGTAACAGTGCTGCAAACTGCGCCCCCATGCAGCCCTAATCTTTAGGGAAATTGTGCTTTATCTTGTTTCTTTATCTTACTTATTGATTAACTGTAACATTTATTGATTAGTGCTGATACCACACCGATTTATTGATATGTTTATTTGTATACACATGCGTTGATTAGATTTGTAAGGAAGATGATTTTACGGAGCCCCCAGGGTGTCAGGGTAAAAAAAAAATATAAAAGCCGGTGGAAATCCGTGGGCATGGATTGATAAACTGAGCGCACAGTTTTCCAATCCGTGCACGCAGATTAAGAAACAGTGCTCTCTGTTTATTAACCCGTGCCCGCGGATTGAGAAACTGTGCTCTCGGTTTATTGATACATGCACTAGAATCAATAAACTGTCTGCCCTGCTTTGCATTCGATGCATGGGTTGCACAAACAAGGTAAGTTTAGTCAATATATATATATATATATATATATATATATATATATATATATATATATATATATATATATATATATATAAACATATAGACTTACCTGTAGTGCAATGCAGTGCTTTAATGAGCATGCTTTAGAGCTTGAACTTGCATTAAACTCTGAAGGTTCTAGATTTCCACTGGCTTTTTTAGGTTTTTTTTTACTGAGCCCCCTGACACCCAGGGGGCTCCGTAGATTAGGGCCACTGAAAAAATAAATAAATAAATTAACAGATTTTTTAATTTTTCAGTTTAATATGGGAAAAATGTCAGAATTGTGACTTTAATCTCAGAATTTGGACTTTTTTCTCAGAATTCAGACTTTTTCCCATATCAAACTGAAATAAAATTTAAAAATCTGTTAACTTTTTCTTTTTTTTTTTAGTGGCCCTAATCCTCTTCTGCAGATTTGACTTACTAACTGATTTTGTAAGAAAAGAAAAAAAAACTGTTTGAGAGTTAAACCAATCAAAATATTTGTAATTCTGGAAAAGAACGGTGAATCCCAGCTCCCAGGGAATTGCAAACTAATGACCGCGAGTAACCCCTGTTACGTTGCCACTACCCCAAGCACGCGCCACCTCCAATGCGCCAATCACCATTCAAGAAACACTGTGACGTAGATGTCAGAGCTTCCGGGCTGATCGCTGTGGCCCGGTAATTCACAGATTTCCCTTTTTAATAAGGATTGCAAGACACACTTGCTGTTGTTATTTATTGCCCAAAAAAACCCAGTGTAAATAGTTAATGTACATATTCTTTTTTGGAGCTCTCGTTACGAGGATAAATATAACAGAGAAGGTCCCGCAGCGGCTCTGGCATAGCGGTTAAGAAAAGAGGTGAGGATGTTTCACTATGAGCGCTCTGCAGATGTACGGTGAAGGGAAGACGATTGATGCTTCCCTTGCTAATCACGAGCTTAGGACCCATCATGTATTATACGTTAAAATTGGTTTACGACCTAATGTTTGGCTATTTTCAAATCTAAAATTCATGTATGTATGGGCAAACCGGTGTCTGTTCACCAGCAGCGGTCACTGCAGCCGCTCCAACGTGTAGCACAGAAGCTAAATAGTAGCTTATCTCGCGTTCTGCTAACTGCTAATCTTGCTGATTTATTACTAACCATAAGGACATTTAAAGACCTGCTATGTAAAACTAAACATGTATGAATTGAAAGATATCACGTCGTTTTCGAAATGTTGTGATGCAAACGTATTTATCGAAGACAGCGACGTTTATAAAGATAATGACTCAGATATAATCAGTGTCAACACAGAGTATGACAGATAATACACGTTAATAACCACAGCAATTAATGAAAGGCCGTGTTTTTTTAATTAGGAAAGCCATTAAAATAAGGAATTATGTTGGAAACTTTAAAATATAAACATTTTCTCATCATATTTATGCTCTCATCCGTGATATCACTAGGGAAAAACCTATATATATATATATATATATATATATATATATATATATATATATATATATATATATATATATATATATATATATATTATAACGTCAAATACTGTATTTGATGATTTGATCTGGTGAGTGGCCATGTAGATTTCCACGAGCAATAATGATGTGGGAATTGAATTCAGTTTCATATTATCTAAGTAACAGGTTTTAGTAGAGATTATTGTCCTTTTATCACAAAGTGTTAGTCAGGCTTATAACGACCATCTTTCTTTTTGTTGATGGGGCTGAAATGACAATGTAAAGTGGGGATCTCAAACTGGTTCCAGAAAGGGCCATGTGGCTGCTGGTTTTCTTTCCAACCAAGCAATGGCACACCAGACTCCATTCATCTCATCAGTTGAGTCCAGTCTTAACATGATGACTTGATGAGATGACTCAATTTAACTAATATTATTTAAAAATATGTGTACTTGCTAAATATCCAACTGTCAGGCATTTTTTGGCCCGATGCAGGTTTATAGTCAACTTATAGATGCGACTTGCTGATTCAGGGGTCTTTTTTCTCTTAGGTGCATAAACTCCTGAAAGAGAAGCAAATATTGTGATAAATGTTATAGCTTTTAATCTCACAGAAAATTGAGAAAAGGCACTATTATTCACTTTTATGCATTCATTTCTTATGTACATAGTATATAGCTGATTTATTTACATAAAGTCTTAAGATCTGAACAAGAGGGGATTCTGATTTAGAAGAGCTGGACAATTCGGATCTCTGTCTGATTCATTGCTGCGTCTCTATTTGTTCATGTGGACCTACCCTTTTTTCTATTTTTAAATATGCCCTAATTTATTGACACCTTTTTATGTATTACACTTATAAAAGCCTTTGAAAATCAGTTGAAATGTAAGATAAATACATGAATTCACTGATAAAATGTTTATCGGGATTGGGTAACTTGAACTATCAAGAAGATGCATACCGTAAATAAATCATAGCAGGACAATAGTCTAAAGCACAGGTGTCCTTAAAATCTCACTATCTACAATGTTGCAGTTGCAAAGCTCTGCTTAGAATAGGGCTGCAACTATCGAATTATTCTGCAAATCGATTAATTTGTAGATTATTTTTTGATTATTCCATTTATGATCAGATAAACCAGGGGAAACCAAAACTTTTCCTCTTGAAAATAGATCTGGATAGAGCTTTTTGACTGACAAAAAAGCTTTTTTTTATCTTAAATGTTTATATATCCAGTTAACAATTGAATACTAGATTAGTTGATCATTATTTCAACAATTGGTTAATTGTTTCAGGCCTAGCTATTTGATTACGGTTTTGCTTAAAATCGAGATGCTAAAGCTCAGGAAGAATGGGGTCATTTTGATAATGGAAAAGGTAGAGAAGAGTTAGAAAATTGTTTGTTGCGATCAATATTTTCATCCTGACATTTATTACTAACCTTGCGTTTTCTATTCTCTCATTATCTAAGAGGAATCCATGTGTTTGATACATGCTTTCTCTCTGTACTAAATTGATTGGTGCTGCATATTCACTTTTATTGCAAAACTTCATTCATATGTTGTTGGGTGTGACTTTGGCTTACACTAGGTAGACTTGTGGAATGAATGTATCTAAAGCAGAATACCTGGTGAGTCACTCTAACCGTCTTTCTTAAAGTAACTGCTTTTATGTGAGAAAACGTTTTTCACCTTGTTGATATAAAGGTAACAAGGAAAAGGGTGGGGCAACTTTTTTTTTTTTCTAACCCTAAGTCAACATGCAACGGGCTGAACCTGTATTGCTCAACGTGGGATATTTTATGGCCTGGGCTGTGCATGCAGCTGCACACTGTTAGATTTTCCCAATCAGTTAAAATTAGTCAGTTAGTGGCACCATTTAGGATCTTGGGGAACTAGTGAAACGTGTTTATCTCGTAAGGCAATGTCTGCTTGTGTGAAAATAAGAAATTCAGCTGCCGTTGTGGGCTGGACTTTAAAAGACATACACATATACGTTTTAATGTGCACTAAAGCAAAACTATTCTGTGAACACAATATAGATATGGATAAATGGTATGACAAAAAGAACAGTTTTATGTAATTTAAAGAACAACAAGAAAGAAATTGATAGAAATCATATACAAATACATTTTTTAATATTTAACTCACCATTTTGACAATCATCTCTTCTGATGAGACAAAAAGTTTGGCTTCTTCAATGTTAAATTTTGCACCAGCTGTGATGTTCATGTGCAGGTGAGGTCACTGCTGTTTAGTAACCAGTTTGGTTTTATTGTTCCTAAATTAATTTCAGAGCCTGTGGTCAACAGCGGCTCATCTCTTTAGCCTGTGGTATTTCTTCACTGCACTGTCACATGAGCAGACCCTCTGTCCTGACCTTGGTTCCTCTCCCTGCATGTTACAGAATGAGTCACTGCTGCCTTTTCTACCGCCATCAGGCCCCTTAAGCATACGCTAGAGATAGCTTAGCTCAAAGGAAGACAGTCTGTTTTTTAAGTTTAGCTGAAAAACCTAGTGTATTAACAAGCATAGTATGTGTTATTTACTACATTCAGATAGGCTGTGATGGAGGGAGTCACTGCATGTTTCATATTCTAGAGTATATGAAAGGAAAGTATCTCTAAGATCTTGACTTATTGTAGTTAACCTTGAGTGTTTATTTTTGAAAAATGTAATTGTTAATTGAAATACTCCTTGGTGCCATTTTTAAATATTGATTGTGGGAGTTGCAGCTGCATACTTCGGCTGTCGAATGAAGGACTGCCAGACATTTGACTGGAATAAAAAGCTGTGACCAAGATGCTGCCTATGAATAGGAAAATCTGGGTGTTCATTCAAACAAGAACTTACTAACTGAGATACAAATACTTATGTCTATTGCTTTCCTACATAGATTGATTTTAATCAATAAAACAAAAATTTTACAATCAATATTACATTTTGTATGTATTCTTTACTTGGCAGGCTGTCGTACTGCATGAAACACCAACCTTCTGGATCCTCCATACCGACCAGCTCAGTTCGCCATTGGTCAGAAGGGTTGGACTAGTGTCCAGCACTGACTTCATCCCCAAGATGAAGTTGAAGGAGGATATCAACCCTCTGCTCCTGCAGGTTTTCCGCTCTGTCGTCTGGGTCTATTCGGTCATAACCTTCCTACCCTGGTACTTCTTCTCTGGAGCCGGAACTAATTTGGAGCGAGCCCGGCGAATAAAGGCCCGCTCCATCAGCGGGCACCCAGCAGGACCTTACAGGGCCATCAACAGCCAGGAGAAGCTGGTAGCACTGGTGCAGCCGGGAGTCGACACACTGGACAAAATGTTCGAGTATGCAGCGAGGAGGTTCCCAAACAGGGACTGTCTGGGTACTAGGGAGGTGCTGAGTGAGGAGGACGAACCGCAGCCGAATGGCAAAGTGTTTAAAAAGGTGAGACTCTTCTGACCTGCTGCTTTAACCATGGCTGCTGTGGTTAGATATAATTGATGGGGTCAAAGACAATTATTCACAGATGCATTTTTTTTTTTTTTTTAAGGAAGTTATATATACTAAACCTTTCCCAAAAATGCTTTCATTTGTTCTTTGCAGTGTGAAGGGTATGTTCACACACACGTCTGGTTCACCATTCTCGTGGGGACTTTCAATTGACTTCCATTAATTTCTAACCCATTTCTAAAGCCTAACTGTGACCCTTACCCTGCCCATTACGGGTTTATAGCTAACCCCTCAATTCACACATTACTCCATAACAGCTCAGCCTAAAACAGCATTAGTTACCATGGGGACCAGACATTAGATTTATGGAAAATTGTCCCCACCATGTAATAAATACACGCCCACGGTACCTGTGTGAAGTTCATGTGTATATTTGTATATTGATGTGTTTGAATTAAATACCAAACATAAAAACAATTAAAATAGAAATGATAACATTATTTTGATTTAGTTATTTGTTTAAATAAACAATAGAAATGGTTGAGGACATCTCAGGAAATCCTCTAATCTGAGATGGATGATCAAATACGGAAGATATCTGTAACAAATTTAAATAAATGCAAGATCGTATTTTGCATTATGTCTCTATATCTCCTTGCATCTATAGTAAATTCAAGTCAGGAATATCAGCAAATTGTGTAAACCGCAAAGCTCCTATTGGCTCTAGGTTTTATTGTTTACGGGAGTGTGGGGCCATTCAAACATTCTGGAAGGTTTGTGCTCACATCAATATAGCTACTGGCCAACAGGTGTCAGAAGATCCACTGATGAGTCTGTTAGGAGATTGTCCTTCATCCCGGTTTCAAAATAGGCATGTTATACAGACACTTGTAAGCAAGAAATGCTTTTGGGAGATGAATCTCTTCATAAAAATCATCAATATACGAAGCAATGGGTGTTTCGACTTGGACACAATTTTGACTTTTTCACTTTTTAGAGCTAAATGGAAAAAAAAAACAAAAAAAACTTAAAGAGTAGAAAGCAAAACGGACCCTAATGGAACATTGTTGTAGACACACATTTATGTGTGTGAAAGGCTTTTACTTAACAGCACCAGTCATGATGTGTATTGTTTTTATGGTTTTTTTGTTTCTTCATTTTGTTTTGTGTATTTTTGGGGGGTATAAAATAAAATAATATAAAAAAAATAATAAAATGATCAAATAAAATATGGGGTAAAAATATAAAACAACAGAACTATGAGGACAGAAATGTGAGTAATGCAAAAACAGTCAATAAAGTGGTACTGATGTTTAAGTTATGGTGAGTAAACTAGTAATTAACCAGGAATGCCCTGTAGATGGCACTAAATTACAACATGAGTAACAATGTCTGCCCTATCAGCTTATTATTAACATGGCATTTTTCCAGGATGGATTTTCTTCTTTAAAATCCTTAAATTCTACATCTATATAAAAACTTTAAACACCAGCTGATGTTGTTATTGTTTCTTCTCATAAATAATTGCTATAAAGCTTCAAACAGATGGCATAAACATTCTGCAGCGACTGTCTGTTTTCCGTGTGATTATTATTGCTGCGTCTAATTTGCATGTTTTCTGCAGGTCATTCTCGGGAACTATAACTGGCTGACGTATGAGGAAGCCTACCATGCAGCGAAGTGCTTTGGTAGTGGTCTGGCAGCTCTTAATCAGAAGCCTCACCATAACATCGCCATTTTCTGTGAGACTAGAGCTGAGTGGGTCATAGCGGCGCAGGCCTGCTTCATGCACAATTTCCAACGTAAGTGACTCAGAGAGAGACGACGATGTTTAGTGAGGCAACAGTAAAACTAACCAGACTGAATGTCAATGAATTTCACAGTTGTGACACTGTATGCCACACTGGGGCCCAAAGCCATAGCTCATGGCCTGAATGAGACAGAGGTCACCCACATCATCACAAGCAAGGACCTACTTCAGAGCCGCCTTAAGGTACATTTTCCCCCTTATATATTATCAAACAATGTAACCAAATTTCATCTTAATGAAACTTCTCTTCCCAGGCCATTCTGTGTGATGTGCCCCGGCTGCAGTATATCATCGTTGTGGACGTTAAACCCACAAGTTGGTCAGATATGCCCAGAGGGATCACTGTCTACAGCATGGAGGCTGTGAAGGAGCTGGGATCCAAACCTGTAAACCGTGAGTGATCATGCGCGCTGATTAAAACGGTTTTTAATTTAGGATAGAGAGATGTAGGCTTAATACAAGGCCAGCTTGCTGATGTATAATTAGAATGATGTGCAGTGCATGGAGGAGTCATTAAATCACCTCTTACCAAACATTGCCTTTGATGACAGTAGCACATTTAAACAATTGAGGCTATCCACTTTTTTTTCCCAGGTTTTGGGAAATTGAACAGAAATCAGTAGGTTTCTATTCTTGTCCATTATTTGAACTGGTAACAAATATCATGTTTTCGCTTTACACATTCAAGGAATATCAAAACATTTTGATTTAAAACAAACACACAAAAAAAACCAAAAAAAAAAAACACTGCATATGATTCTTCATATTTAGATTTCATTTGTAAAACTGTTGATTTGTGGTGTATTTCCCCTTCCGCCATCCTGCTCTGTTGTGCGCTTTTAGTGGACCGCAGACAGCCGGAGCCCTCGGACATCGCTGTCATCATGTACACCAGCGGCTCCACAGGCATCCCCAAGGGTGTGATGATCTCCCATGGCAACCTCATAGCTGGCATTGCAGGCATGGCCGAGCGGATCCCCAACCTCAAGTAAGCAGTTCTCAGTTTCACTACTTAGTCTTTGACACTTCCTCTCTGATTGTCACATTCAAAATCTGTCCTTCTGTTCATTACAATAATTTTCAACGCATTTTTTGTAACATGTTGTAGCTATTTGTAGTACTCCATTCTTCTGGATATGTACGCTGGAAAACGATCTAGAAATAAGTAAAAAATATCTTAAATTAAGTCTATATACCCTTTATTAGAGTGGGTAAATGAGATAGTTAGCCAATGGAATGAGTGTTTTTACTCTTAAAATAAGATAATATGCACTTGAAATAGACAATGCAGTTGCGGTTTTTTATTTTAAGTGTAAATTGTCTTGTTCCATTGGCAAAATTTTTCTTTTACCTTCTTAATCCAAGAAGAAATGCACTTATTTTAAGAAAAAAATCACATATCTAGAGTTCGATTTTTTTCCAGTAGGTAGGTAATTTGTTTTGTTTTTTTTATTCTGGCAGTGAGACAGACACCTACATTGGCTACCTACCATTGGCTCATGTGTTAGAGCTCAGTGCAGAGCTGGTTTGTATCTCCCATGGCTGTCGCATTGGATATTCCTCTCCTCAGACTCTGGCAGACCAGGTCAGTGTATGAGCGGACAAACAGATTTTTATGTCATCCTGTCTCTACTGCTGTGACACGAGAAAATGAGTTCCCACATGCAAGAACACTGTAGGATTCATTTGATTTAATGCTCTACTATCTCTGGGACCGTGATAGGTGACAGACTGTGATCTGTTCAATAAAGAGTTGTTTCATTTTCTCAGTCCTCCAAGATCAAGAAGGGCAGTAAAGGGGATACCAGTGTGCTTAAACCCACTCTCATGGCCTCTGTACCAGTAAGTCCCATAGTCTGTTGTAAAGCTTCTATAAACAGATTAAACACTGGGTGTTCAGTCACAACTGAGCTGTCGTCTTCTCTCATTATGTGCAGGAGATCATGGATAGAATTTACAAAAATGTCATGACGAAAGTAGACGAGATGAGCAAATTTCAGAAGACGCTCTTTGTGTTGGCTTATAACTACAAAATAGAGCAGATATCCAAAGGCTACAGCACTCCTCTCTGTGACAGGTAATCCGCATTACACCCACCCAAAGACACACGAGACGCTTACTGAGCCGACATTTCATTCTTTTTTCAAAGTTACGCAAGCAGTAACCTTTAGTTCCTAATAGCTAATCATAACTTTAAAAAAAAAAATCTCCCCTCACTAATCCTTGGTAAAATGAAGCCGTAGTAAGACCTATTGTCTAGTGTGGGACTTGGTTTAAACTTAATTTTTAACAATTATTATCTTGGAACACATTTTATTAATCTGCAACCACAAATTACTATTTATTTTATTGGTATTTAATATGATAGATCATCACAAACTGGTGTGTGATTATGAAAAGGAAGGAATACGTAACATGTTTTTCAAAAAGCGACTATTTATGGACGTAATAATGGATGAAACTCTTGCTAGATGTTTTCAATAAAGCTTTATTGAATAAAACAAAACAAGAGAAAGTGACAGTGGATGCCTGTGTCTGCATTTTATTATTAAATGAGAGCTAATGGTATCATGACCACATCACCCAAAGATGAAGGAAGGTAATAAGAAAACAGAACAATTATTAACAACAGACTGTAGCAGAGCTAGGGCTGCACAACATACGGCAAATGTATCCAGTTGGCTATATCAGTGTACACAATATTATTATAGCATTAAGCTGTTCAGTCTGCAGTGAATGTTAGATAATTAAATCATCAGCTTTCCAGTGGTGTACGTTCTTTAATGTTTCAGCAAATGTTTTACGGGTAATGAAGACGTTTATGTAAAGCTATTAAAGAGCTACAGCTGCAGATTCTTCAGTCACATGTTCAACTTCACTGTTTACAGCCTTTTCTTACAATCTGACTTATGTTTTGTCAGGAATGACAAGAAATAGAGATTTGCATTTTTAAATGAAGTGGTGCCTGGTTCAACAACGTACCGACTTCGACGGAGGAACACAAATTTGTGCCTCACTTTTCAGATTTTCTTCTTTTTTTTTATTACTTAGAAAACTGCTACTTTTTGTTATCACCTACAATTCCAAATAGATTTAATTGACTTTTTTTGTTTTTATTGAATAGTTCAAGGCATTATAATATTTCAGGGATTCCAGAAATATTGTCCCAATAACTCTTTGCTCTTGTACACATCGGTTTTCTCTCTTTCTCTGCTCCCCTTTAGATTCGTTTTCCACAGAGTTCGGTCTCTGTTGGGAGGTAACACTCGGGTCCTGCTCTCTGGAGGAGCCCCGCTGTCAGCTGCAACGCAGCGCTTCATGAATGTCTGTATGTGCTGCCCTGTGGGACAGGGCTACGGCCTGACGGAGACCTGTGGAGCTGGCACCATCAGTGGGGGTAGGAGAAGATTGATTTTGATCAATAAGCACCACTTGTGTCTTGTGAATTTCAGATTAAAATAGAGGTGCTTTTAATTTATTTTCTAGCCTGGGATTACAGTACAGGACGGGTTGGTGCGCCACTGGTTTGCTCAGAGATCACCTTAAAGGACTGGGAAGAAGGTTAGTGACCTGGTTAGTGACCAGACATGTGGTAAAATATTACTAACAAGGTGTGTGTTTCTTCAGGCGGTTACCACAGCACTGACAAGCCCAACCCAAGGGGGGAGATTTTAATTGGTGGGCCCAATGTGACAATGGGATACTACAAAAATGAGGGCAAGAACCACGAGGACTTTTTTGTGGATTCGAAGGGACAGCGATGGTTCTGCACAGGAGACATAGGAGAATTTCATCCAGACGGCTGCCTGAAGATCATTGGTAGACCTGCAAACATGCTCTGCTTTTTCAAACAGTTTTAAAGTTCCATCTCCCATCAAACCATTTTCTTTTAATTTTTTGCAGACCGTAAAAAAGACTTGGTGAAACTCCAGGCAGGTGAATATGTCTCTCTGGGAAAAGTTGAGGCTGTTTTGAAGAACTGCCCCCTTATAGATAATATCTGTGCCTACGCCAACAGGTATTATCCAGTTTCCTCTTGCTTATTGACCTTGCTCTCTGCCAATAATTGTACCAAAAAAACAAAAACAGTTTTTTTTTCCTGTTCTTTTAGTGAAGAGTCGTATGTGATCAGCTTTGTGGTTCCAAATCACAAACAGTTAATGGGATTGGCAGAACAGGTTCAAATAAAAGGCACGTGGGAGGAGCTCTGCAACAACCCTCGGATGGAGCGGGAGGTGCTCCGTATCATTAATGAGGCTGCCATCTCAGGTAGAACTTTTCCATCCATGGATCCAACAATTCCTGTTTGTAAATCCGTCCATCCATCCATGAAGCTGTCTGAAACTATCCATTTGTTCAACATGCTTTGTTAGCGTTCTTCCTTTCATCACATATTGTTGAAATTCTTGAAGACTCAGTTGCTTGACTTAAAAAATTTGTAGAATCCATGATAAATAAATATCCGTCCCTGTCAAGCTGCTACTTTTGTATATTGTGTTTTTGCTTGAAATATTTAGTCCCGTACCGTATCTGTGAGGCTGATTTGTCATTCTGCTCTCTTTCACTTAGGCAAACTGGAGAGGTTTGAGATTCCCAAAAAAATCCGGCTGAGCGCTGAGCCGTGGACACCGGAGACGGGCCTAGTTACCGATGCGTTCAAATTGAAACGCAAAGAGCTAAAGAAACACTACCAAGAAGACATTGAGAGGATGTATGGCGGGAAATAACAGAGATGCATTACACACTAAACACTCACATAGCGCTTAAAAAGCCCCCTTGGGAACTGTCTCATGCGGAAATACATGGATGACATACACACACACACCTAACTACAAACATACAGACTTGTTTGCCTCCTCAGCTTCACTGTAACCAGCTTTGATCAAAAGAGACAGGAAAGCCTGGAATCAGGTCCTCATTTATCAGTTGAGACAAAAGGCTGAAAGGGACCTTAGAGAGGTTCCACCAAAGCTCAGACCCTACCGAGTCGCTATGACTACCACAGGAAGTCGGACCGTTGCATGGCTCAAAGTGAAAAGAATGTCATGCTAGACTTTTGTACATCTGTCTGTGTTGCTTCTCTTCTCCTCTCCACACTGTCTGGAACATTCCACCTCTGCAGCTCGGTTTGCTAACTTGCAGCGCAGTTATATGGCAGGGATGTGCGTTCCTACATAGACTCTGAGTGACGTTAAGGTTGGAATATTTGCAGGGATTTTTATTGTCTTTAATATATGATTTTTCTTACATGTGTTGCAATGTTTCGTTAATGTTTAGTTTGACAGCATCAGGATCCATGTGTGAGATGAATAAGTGTTGCAAAGCCATGAGAGATTTAACATTAAGACATTGAAAAATCTGTTTTGTTCTTGTTACTTGTATTAATCGGATGGTTTTTAACCATTTTGTTTTCTATCCTTAAGTTGTGTTTTCTATCTGTTGATGCTCATTGTATGTTTTCTTTTTTACGGTCATTATCCCCTCTATTTATCTGTCTGCATCCCAAAGTTTGCTGATTGGAGTACATGTTTACTTACTTGACTCCCTTGCCCCTGCTCCCTGCAAATGCAGCATTTCTATCCTTTGAGACTTTGCATGCATTGGGATATGCTTCTCAATGACCTGCCACTTCTGCCCTGTGTCACTCCAGTGAACAATTAATGCATCATATGGATAACCTTCAAGGGAATTTTGCTTACTGTACAATGATTTATAGTAGAGTTACGAGTAACCTTTTGGCACAGTTGTATTTTAATCTTATTAACCATAGATCAACCTAATATGATTTTTGTTTTTAAATATACGAAATACAAAAATGAATGTGCAATATTTATACATAGTTTTAAAGTGTAAGAAGGAGGCAAGGCACAGCCAAAAGCTTTTTTTTTGTGGTTTATTCGTCACTAAAGCTCTTTTAAGGAGAAGTCAGCTTAAGGGGACGATAGAGAGACACTGATAGGAGAGTTGTGATATAGCCTATACTGAAAATGTTCATTTAAACTGCATGATGGAAGATGCAAAGTACCTGAATGAGAAAAACATAGCACTCCATTCAAGCCACTGAAGAAGAAATGCTTTATGAACAGACTAAAGGCTAGAGTACATAGGATAAACTCAAACTAAGATTTCTGTATAACTAGACTGGCCTGTTAGTATAACTATGTGTAATGTACATAAAAAGGATCCTGTAACCTGCCATTTTAGTTGACTTCATGTAAAATACAGCTTGAATACAGTAGAGTTTAAAGAAGATTGGACTCTTTTCTTTAAGTTTTTGTTTATTACTGAAGATGAGAATGTTTGGTCAGTGCTATAATGTAAAGAGGACAGATTCTCTTAATGCAAGCTTGGCTTTCTGGTACTTAATGCTTACTGCATCTCTAAAGGTACAGTCAGGTAGGTTAACTCCACCTCTTATAGCTTGTAGAGGTATGATCGTGTTGTTCTAACCAAGCAGGACCTCTCGCCTACTTTCTTTCTTTTTAAAAACAAATTTATTTCCCCCTGACATTTCATTGAAAAGTCAGTCCCTTAATCTGCTGTCTGCCTGGAAAGAGGCGGCTTGTTGCCTTCTGTCTGAAAACATGCGATTTCTTCAGCGTTTCTGTCGAATGTGAAGCACTCCCTGATTATTGTTGATACCACACACTCTAAACATACCATCACCAACAAGGCAGGGGGAGCAGGCGCCCCAAAACACAAATGTTTATTTTTTTTTTTACTTGCTTTGTTGAAAAGGTTCGGAGGGACGGGGGGAACTTCGATATCCAAACTGCATTAAATACTTCCAATAACTGTACACATGTAAAGGCTCCTCTTAATGTATTTAATGATCTTTGTTATTGACCAGTTTTGAGGGTCCTTTTTTTTTTTTCCTCCTTTTTTCTGTTTGTTTTTGTGTGATGAAGCTGAGCTACTGCAAGTGTATCCTTTCTTATTTATTTGTGATCTGGACTTGGCAGTTATGTAATGGAAATAAACAAGTTTGTATTGTTGATCTGTCTGTTGTTGTTGTGTTCTCTTTTTTAAGGGTGTGTTGAACATCTGAGGGATAAACGGCTTGATCGGATTCACCCTGAAACCATAGTTTCTATGGCAACATAGGCCAAGTGCCGCTGTCTGTGTGAACCTGGTTGGCTGTCAGCTTCCCAACACATTGAGAAAGCAGTTTCAGGAGTCAAACCTTCACTTAGACCTAGTAAACAAAAGATCTCCTTAATTGACATGTTATTTATATATATAATGTCAGACCTGTGCTGCCACTTCACTTGCTAAAGAAATTTGTATCTGTTAGAATTGTGTGATAAAACAGACTTATCTCTAGCATATTTATCTTATTGTTATTTTATTATCTATGGATCAGCTAAGGTACCCAGATTGTCCAGTTTCCTGAGACCTGATAAGATATTTAATAAATTACTTGTCGTTTATTAGATTATAAACTAATTGCATCTTAATGACCACCTGGTATTTACTTTTCTCTTCACAATTTTCCAGATTATTTATGGGGTTCAGGTAAACTAAGTTTGCTGGCTGCACAAGCATACTAACAGCATTGCCACTGAATTTACTTTGACAGTATGGACCTGTTGAACAATGCAAAAAGCATCTTTTTAACTCATCACTATGAAAATTTCACACTTGACCTAAAGAACATTGGATTCCGTGCCTCCACTCTTCCTCAGACATCAGGACCCTCGTTACCAAGTAAAACACAGGACAATAAATAAGTAAGCAACATCCTGGCAGGGTTCCTTCTTGGCCCAACCAAGACTCCTCCAATGTTGTCTCATTCACTTCAAGACAATCTGCTGCTAAATAACACTCACTTAGTTATAAGAGTAACAGTTCTGCAGTGTACTTTGGTGCCTCTTATTTGTATTCACTGTCATATGCTTTATCTGGGACCCGGTCCCTCTCTGTAGACACCTCCTCTTGCTCTGCTGAGGGAAGCCCGAGGAGCTCCCAGGCCAGCCGAGAGACAGTCCCTCCGACAAGTTCTGGGTCGTCTTCTCGGCCTCCTCCCAGTGAGACGTGCCAGGAACACCTCCCAAGGTTTGGTGACCAGGAAGCATCTGAAAAAGATGACTCCTGACTCCTTTCGATGTGGAGAAGCAGTGGCTCTACTCCAAGCCCCTCCTGAATGACTGAGCTCCTCATCCTATCTCTAAGGGAGTGCCCAGCCACACTGGATGGAGCTCATTTCAGTATCTGGGATCTCATTCTTTTTGTCGTGATCCGAATTTCAGGACCATAGGTCAGGGTAAGAACGTAAACCAACTGAGAGTTTTGCCTTTTTGCTTAGCTCTCTCTTCACCACTACAGACCGGTGCAGCTTTTGCATTATGGCAGCAGCCGAACTGATCCATCTATTGCTCCCCTGCTCCATTCTCCCCTCACTCATGAACAGGACCCCAAAATACTTGAACCACCAACCCCCTGCTTGAATCTTTTTTCCTGCCCTGGAAAATTATTTCTATTTCTGATTTCTATAAATCTGTGGAGCAGTGTGAATAGGTTACACAAGATGATAATTTCCTTATTAGGGCAAACAGCTATTTTATGCAGGGCACCCTGGAATGGAGTTTTGACAGCTGAAGCTGTGTTTTTATCGCAGAGGCTGGATGTCTCTTGAGACCTCTCACTGCTGCTTCTGCTGCCAGAGAGAAAAACTTGCACTATGCACAAGCATTTCCCGCCGTGTAAAGAGACTATAATCTATGAGCATCCCCCTTTTAAATGAATTACTGAATATTATAAATGTTATTTTATTACAATATATTATACAGTATTTGATTTAAAATGCCCTCTGGTTTTCAATTAGTCTAAAATGAATTTGAAATAAAAAATGTTTTGGCTCTGTCTTTCATTTGAAATAAAAAGCCAGTCTATAGTGCACACAGTCAAGCAGTCCTTCCCATCCTTCTCTGCCGTTCCATCCCTCCATCCGTTCCTCCGGGAGGAGTGAGTGAGTGAGTCATAGGCATAATTCTCCCTTCATTAGTCCACTGATAGTGATGCACGTAAACACAGAGAAGACATGGCTCAGTCACAATAACAACAACACAGAGAAGCAGGAAGGTTGTCCTCCATATTGTATGAATAAAAAATGTGGTTCTATTTATGTATTGTTTTTATCTTCCTTTTCCACTAGCATGCTGTTCGATCACTTTTTTTCCTCCTCCTACTGCTTTGCTTGGCTCTCTCTTCCTGTCTGCTTATGACTCAGAAGTGCGGAAAAAAAAACTTTTATCTCTATGCTCTGCACACGCACTCTTGGGTTAGCCAGAGACATATTGGCGTTTACCCAAGGATGAGCAGGGCTGACGCTGGGCTGCTTCATAACTCCGGAGAGGTGGTGGGTGGTTCGTGGAGAAGAACTGAGAATAATTGCATTTCAGACTGAAAAAGGACTATAAAGCAAGGATGGAGCTGAGATGTGAAAATAAAGATATACAAGAGGATAAAAGTGTATAATAGGTTTTATCATAGCCAGTCCAACCCTCTATCATTCAGTGGTAAAACTGGAACATGTTTTAATACCCACAATGTTCTTTTCTAGATGAGCTCAGTCTGAAAAGCAGTTTACAGACAACATTTCTTAACTGCCAACTAAACACCTTCTAAAATGCTTCCTCCACAACTATGTGTATGACTATTTTCCATGCAAATTCATAATGCTCACCATCAATATTAGTTGTTTTTAGGATGACAGCTCATACCATCATGGCCAGCTATGTGTTGTATACAAAGAGGTGTCAACAAACTTCTGAAAACTGTTTTCTGAGAATCAGGAAGCTTTGTCTGTGAACACAGGGCATGACATTTTCCTTCTATAAAAACCAAATCAAGAACATCAGCACAACTCTGAGGCACGTTGGTGGAGGAGTGATGATTTCCAATTGATCCTCAGAGTCACAAAGGGTTTCTGGAAGGAATAAAGCTAAGATTGAAATCTTTGGTACCGAAACTTTAAAAAGTTTAGATTAAGAGCAAGAGATAAATTGTTGATAAAATGTCTCAACAGAATAATATTTTCCAAGTTCGGAAACAAACCTAGAAATAGAAAACTCAGTGAGAAATTAAAGTCCTAACTTACATATAACTCTTATTTAATTGGTTATATATAAAGACTCAAGGAATCTATGACAATCTGAGAGATGACTAAAGATAATTATAGATGTTGTCCTCTTAAATAATTCCAGCTTAATGCGACGACACTAGCACATAAAGAATTGGATCTATTTCTTTATGTAAATAAAGAAATATACACTTGCTTTCATTTTTAATGCTTGTAAACCCCCAATGAGCTACTACCCTGGGCTGAACCATACTGTAATACTTATTAAAGAAATACCTAAACCTATGCATTGTTAGTGCAATAACATTTTGTTTGTTTGATTATTTTTGCATATATCAAGACATTTTTAGAAGTTATCTGTAACCGATTTGTTTTTGCACAGAAAATCAAGGTGCATTATTGTCATGCCATCAAATTGTTAACATGCAATCTGCTCTTTTAATTAAAACTGGTGATTATTTCATAAACAATATTTACCTTCACTTTGACTGTGAAGCCAGGTTTATTATCTGATTATTTATCATAATGGATCATTTTCCACATTTGACTTGCAAGGATCACATCTATGCCTGGGCTGTTGTTTTTAATACTATCATTTATGACATATACTAATTTTTATGTTATAATCCAGGTAGGTACCAGTACATAATTAAGATCAGAATTAAAACATTTATATATATATATATATATATATATATATATATA